CAGCGCACACACGCACTCCGCGCGATTACTATTCTCCGCTCAGTCCGCGCGTCGCGTGGCCCGTACCACGCACCCCGGCACCACTATCTCGCCGCCGGCGCACACACGCACTCGCTCCCCGGCGCACACATCTCTCGCCCGCCGTGCCGGCGCACACCACGCACTCCCGGCGCACCACATATCTCGCCGCCGCGGCACACCACGACACCCCGGCGTACACTATCTCGCGCCGAGCTGCACACCACGCCCACTCCCGCCGCACACTTATCTCGGCCGACGCGGCAGCAACCACGTCACCCCCGGCGTACACTATCTCGCCGCCTGCGCACACCCGCACTCCTTCGCGCGCACACTATCTCGCGCCGGCGACACCACTGCACCCCCGGGTAACACTATCCCCGGCCGGCCGCATTATCCCGCCGCCGGCGGCGCACACACACACACCGGCGTGACCCGGGTGAGCGCCACAAATCAGGCTGCCCGCTACATCGCCCCCCTTCCTCTAGCGCGGTAAGCTCTTTCGCGCTCGACGCGTCCAAACAAAAAAAACCCAAAGAAATTACTAGCGGTCGTCAGCCTGGATTTGCGTCGACTCACTCTCGAGTGTATACAGTACAGAAATTCCTACGCGCAAATTAAATTACAATTGAAATATACCGCGACTACAAAATTACAATTCTAGATCCGCGGATGAACTTACAGAATACATCCCCGCAACCATACAATCATCACGTAGTTTAAAATCCCCGCCTTCATAAGTCTACACTGCGAATCCCCGCCCATTATCACTACACTGTTGAAAATCCTGCGTCCTTTTTATCATTACACTGAATCTGAATCCCCCCTCTATTATAGATTACTCTGTCTGTATATCCCTGGAGGCGGTCCGCGTATTTCGCTGTTGACGTTCGCGCAGGTGACCCATATCCTCTTTACTGGGCGGCTCTGTTAGTGCTGCGGCGTGCCCCTTCTCGTGCCTCTAAAGGGCCAGGCCGTTTTCAATTGACGCTGCAGTCTGTAGATGGCGTTTGAGATAATCGCCTGGCGAAGCGTGTGGCTCTCGACATTCGCGAAATCCTCCCCATCGACACCATGTCGCTCCATTCTGCCCGGTGGGGTAGCTGCGGGTTCGCCCGTCGGAGCGGCCCGGGTCGTTGCGTGCGGAGCCGCGGGGTCATCGTCGACGCGCGGGGTCGTCGTCCAGCCGGCGGGGGTCATCGTCGAGCCCGCGGGGGTCGTCTGGCTCCGAGCCGGCGGGGGTCGTCCGTCCGAGCCGCGGTGGTCGTCGGCCGACGGCCAGCCGGGTCGTCGGTCCGAGCCGCGGGGTCGTCGTCCGAGCCTCGGGTCGTCGGCCGAGCGCCGCGGGTGTCGTCGTCGAGCCGCGGTGCGTCGGCCGACGCCGCGGGGTCGTTCGCCGGAGCGCGCGGGGGTCGTTCGCGCAGAGCCGCGGGTGTCGGCGGATGCCTGGATCGCCACCACGGGGGGTCGCCGCCTCTCTCGCTGCGCTCGGTCTCTGGCGGGCACGTCGTGGATGGCGGGCCCGTCGATCGCACGATCCGAGCAAGGCCGGACCCAGCGGCGGCTCGTAGCAGGGCGACGAGCGGCCATCGCCGGGGGCCGTCGTCGGCGTCGCTGGTCGAGGCCGGCGCGGGCGTCAGCGGACCGCGGCAGGGTACCCCGACGGAGAGGCGCCCGAAACGGGACGGGTATCTCTCGCCCGGATGTACGTTGCCCAGTGGTCCCGCCGGTAGTTGCCCGCAGCTTTGTGGGGCGGTCGCGAGATGTGCCCTGGCCAGCCGGGTGCCTCCACGATCGTCCGGGGGAGACAACTCGCATTCGCCGACAAGGGGCATCGCACCACCGGCCCACGACGCGTGTGTAATTCCGCGTCGGGGCCACGGGCGTGCAGCGTGGGGCGGTCGCAGGCCACACACCAGGCCCATCGACCTGACCCCACGGCCCCCGCCTGGAGTGGGGCACCTACAAAGAGGTGCCGCTCCGGACGTCCGCCGGGCCCCCATTGGGCGGCGGCGGTGTCGGCATGCTCTGCCGGCGGCGCTCTCACGGCGGCCGGGAGGGCAGGAGCGGATGGCCGCGCCGGCGGCGTTCTCACGGCGGCCGGGAGCGCAGGAGCGGAGGACCGCGCCGGCGGCGTTGATGATGGCGGCGCCACTGCCGCCGCCGCGTTGGCCGTCGCTCTCGCCCTTACTCGCTCCCGGCGGTAACGTGCCTTAAGAGCCATCCTCTTCTACCCTTCAGTGAGGCAGGCCTCTTCGGCAGCGCTCGCCGCGGCAGCCTCTCTTGCTGACTTTCCTTTGCGCAATGCCGGTGACGGCGCCGCTGCCTCCTCTCCGTCTCCTCGCCCGCCGACAAGGTCGCCGTCCTCGCTCCCGGGCCGACCGTCACCTCTCCCTCGCTCGTGATTCGCTGCGGCGGCGGTGATGGCGGCGCCCCTCGGCGGCCGTCGGCGGGCGGCGGGGAACAGGCGGCACCCTCCGGGGTGCCGGCAGCCATCTCGATGACGGCGTCCTCGCCGGCCGTCACTCCCGGTATTGGAACGGCGGTCTCGTCTTCGGCCGGGAGCGTGGCAGGGGCAAGGAGACTCGCCAATCCTCCGCGCCTTGGTGCGGCGTCCGCCTCCTCCTCTCCCGCCGGGGCGCCACCCTCGGCGACCACCTTACTCGCCCACGCCAATACGGCGGGCGAGGGGTGACTTGCCTGCCCGGGGCTCGGCGAACATCCGTAGCCCGGCGTCCGAGGACGGGGGCTAGGGGCGGCCACTCCTTCTTCTTCGGCTTCTTCCGTGCTGCTGCTGTCGCTGCTACTGCTTTCGCTGCTACTACTGTCGCCACTCTAGGTCCACTCGTAGCCCTCCTCCAAGTCCTCCATTATTTCTCCCATCATTTTACGATCTCTGTGATTCAATCTCTTATTACTGTCTGTCCACATTCTTCGAGTTTGTCTCCCTACCTCTCCCCTTTTTATACGAGCCACCACTGTCACCAGTCTGACGTCATCCCCCATTGTATTACGCCACGCAGGCTTCGCACGCCCCAGCTTTATTTCCAGCTGTGGGATTCTCTTATTCCTCTCACTCTGGCCATCACAGCTCCTCTTCCCGAGGTAGTAGACTCTCCGTTTTTGGCAGGTCGGAAGGGCTACCCGTGACGTATCAGCCCTCCGATTTGCATCGCCGTCGACGTCGGCCGGCCGCCATATAGCGACCGCCGTCGGCCGACCTTTTAGCGGCACTACCGTCGCCCCGCACATCACTGCCCGGAGGTGGACGCCTGCCTCACGCGGACCCAATCTGACCGTTGATGGCGTCCTGCACGCCGCCTGCATGGAGAAAGCGAGAATTAGAGCCCAGCGGCGTGGTGACTGCTTTCGCGGCGAGTGACGTGGATTGCCCCGGGTGCGGCGCCGGATGGTGGCCGGTTCGGTTGGCCAAATCGGCCGTGGAGACAAAGGACAAGCTGGGCGCTTGCTGAACCCACGCCGAGGGTTCGCAGCGGGCAAAAGGGCGCGAGGGCATCCTTGATGGGAGGAGTCCTGGTCGGATACCGTTAAAGGGGGGAAGTTCCCCTATCAGTAGTTATACATCGGCGATGAGATGGTGGTCATAGCACCGGTGGAGAATAGCTCACCTAAGAGGGTGGCGGTGCGAGTGGCACCCGTTAGCTCCGGCTCCGCTCCGGCTCCCAGAACCAGAGAACGAGATAACGGGTCCCGGCGCTGCTCAGCCCGTCTGCTGGCAGCTTGGTGGAGCTAGTCGCTGAGTGAACCAACCTCACCGTGGACACAGGTAGCGAATTGGACGAGCTTCTGGGCACTAATAGTGACCTGTGTTGCAATGTCCTGGGAACCGTTGGGACACCACTCGACCGTGTGCGCCACACGATGACACGTGGAAGCCCACTCCCCCATGCAAGCAGGTCCCGCGAGCGCGTGCCCGCTGGAACGGTCAACATGTCATGGACCGAGGAGAGTCGCCGTGCGAAGAAAGACGCGCAGATCACCGCGAAGGGTGCGATCGCCGCGGCAGAAGAGAATCGGCGAGTCAACCATGAGGGTGAGAGCGCGCCGCGACCGAAGGAAGACTGGCAACCCCGCGAGGTGGAGATGCCGGTCGATCAAATGAGATAGCGCGATCATTCACGAGGGCTGAGATCGTCGTCGGCGAACAGAGAGACGGCAAACAGCACCGCGAGGGTGAGATCGCCGGGCGCGAAGAACGGCGATACACCATGAGGGTGGAGAGCGCACGGCGACCGAGATAGACGGCAAACCACCGGCGCGAGGGTGAATCCGCGGAGTGCTCGGCGAGAGAAAACGGCAACTCACCCGCGCGAGGGGTGAGATTCGCCGTCGGCGAAGAAACGGCGATCAGCCGCGAGGTAGATCGACCGCTCGCTGGAAGAAAACGGCTGATCATCATGAGGGTGAGAGTGCCGGCGACGCGAGAGAGAACGCACACTACACCGCGAGGTGTGAGATCGCCGGTCGGCGAAGAAACGGCGATGCACCGCGGCAAAGGTGAGATTGCCGGTCGGTGAAGAAAACGGCGATCACATGAGAGGGTGAGAGGCCGCGGACCGACGAAAGACGGCAACACACGCGCGAGGGTGGATCCGCCGTCGGCGAAGAAACGGCCGATCCCAACCGGCGAAACGCGTGGAGGATTGCCTGTCGTGATAAGAAAATGGGTCGGGGGAGATCACCATGAGGGGAATGGCCGGCGACCGAGAAGACGGCAACCACCGCGAGGTGAGATTGCCCGTCGGCGCTAAGAAAACCGGATCACCGCCGAAGGCCCTCGAGATCGCCGGGCGGCAAACGCAACGGCGATCACCATGGAGGGTGAGATCTGCGCGTGTGACCCGATGAGAAACGACGGCAACACCGCGAGGGTGAGATCGCCGTCGGCGCAGAAAACGGCGATCACCGCAACCAGGGAGATCGATCCGTCGGTCGAAGAAACGGCTGATTCACGCTGAGGGTGAGAGCGCCGGCGACGCGAGAATTACGCAGACCTACCCGAGGTGAATTCGCCGGTCGGCGAAGAAACGGCGCATCCACGCGACGAAGGTGAAGATTCGCCCGTCGGCGAGAAAACGCGACGCCTCACCGACGAAGGTGAGATCGCCCGATCGGTGAAGAAACACCGGACTGTAGATGCACCATATGAGGTGAGGAGGCGGGGTCCGTGTGCGACAGAGAAGACGAGCATATACAACCGGCTGGGCAGAGTGCGAAATAGGATGAAGAGGATGCGCCGGCGGCGAAGATGGAAATTGGAGGAGGGAAAGAGCCCGCATCCTCAGACGACGGCGACGCCCGGCGGGGGAGCTAGAAGCCTCCCCCTACCGGAGGCCGCGGCGGGGCATCGCCCTGATGGAGACGCGGGACGGCAGAACGAGTCGAGTTGTACCAGCGTGGTAGTATCGACCCAGCCAGAAAATATCTCGGAACTTTAACACGGAGATGTATGGTGCTTGGGCCGCTACGGAATACAGTATGTAGTGCCGTACGTACGATTTCGCCTACCTCAGCAGAGTTGAGTGCGTACGGGCAGTTGGAAGGAGTACGGAGAGAGCACAAGAACAGCGCCAGCCGCGGAGACGCATCCGTCGAGTTTTTTCTAGGGGATGACTTAATCATCCCTTAAGTTCGACGGACTGAGCGTCGAGCGTCATGCGCGAGGAAATTCGCTGGCCGGTCAAGGGGGAGGAAGCGCGATTGAGAATCTCACGTTGGGAGGAAATCGGAGCTGTGGTGGCATTCCAGCCAGACAATTGAGAGATCTGCCACCAGGGGGGGTCACGCCCTCTGCTGCGAGTTAGCGGTATGCACACCGAGGTCGTCCATTGATGCACTCATTGTCGCGACCACCTGCCCCTTGCACCGACGGAACACATAATCGAACGCCTAATGCGCAGGAAAGGAAGCCGACGGATAGCCATCGACTGTCGCACAGTGGCGAGAGTGCCGAGAGCCCAGCACTGCGTCGCGCCCCGACGAGAGAGATCGCGATCTGTACAGGAGGAGGAGCGAGAAAATACATGGGAAGCGCAGTGCAGACAATTAGGGATGACCACGAGTAATGTACCGTGGAAGGGGATCGCGACGGAGCGGTCCACACATAAGCGACCGGCCTCGACGTCCGGACCGGCGACAGTAATTCGGGACGCCGATACGTCGCAATGAGACCAGTCAGCGCTACCAAGGGAGAGGAGAAGTAACCGGGATCACGCGTATGCCGCTAGGAAGGTCGGCCGACGGCGGTCCTGCAAAGTGAACAACCGGCTCTGACGTCGCGACTGGCGACGTAATTCGGGAGGCCGATACGTTCCGCAATGAGACCGCAGCCGCCACACGGGGGAACAGATTAAAGTACGCGAGATGACCGTAGCCGCTGACAAGGTCGGCCGCCGGCGGTCGCCATATAAACGACCGGCCGACGTCGGACGCGAAGCGTCAATTCGGGCGCAGATACGTCGCAATGAGACGCCAGCCGCCTACACAGGGGAAAGATAGAAGTACCGGGATGACCGTGAGTGCCGCTGGAAGGTCGGCCGACCGCGTCGCAACATAACTGACCGCCGACGGTCGACGGCGATCGTAATCCCGCGAAGCGATACGGTCGCAATGAGACCCAGCCTGCGCTACCGCAGGAGAAAGAGAGAAGTGAAGTTTACGCGGGCGACGGTCCCACGCGGGGCCGCGGAAACGCGTCGCCGGACGCGGTCGCCATACGCGCGACCGGCCGACGTCGGACGGCGACGTAATTCGGGAAGCCGATACGTCGCAGGAGCCTAGCCGCGACCCGCAGGAAGGACAAGAAGAAGGATTA